TAATTGCTCGAGGGTACGTCGGTTAATTGGTATTGCCACTTTTGAGAGAGTTTCTTTGCCCTTTCCCATTTCCATGCATGATTTGCCCCTTCATTAACTGCTTCTTGTCTCCTGAGCAGTAAAAGTCAATCCTATAATACTGTTAATTACAGTAAATCCATAAAATGCATTCGTTTCTCTTCGAAAAGGTAGATGTTATCGTGGTTAATGAAGTACGCATTATCCTTGAATTTTTGGGGGTTAATTAGACAATTAATGTATGCTCATTGACCTATTAGCGTACAAGTTGGAACTGCTTTCAGAGATTTATAGAGATGTTAGGTTGATTGTGATTTTTATCGAACCCGTTGAGAGACATATTTACGGGAACTCTTGAATAATTATAGACTTTAATCCATGGAAGAATAAGAAAATCTCAGTTTCAATAACTGAGATTTTCTTATTCTTCCATGGATTAAAGTCTATAATTTTTGCGCAAGGTCAAAGTTGTAATTTTGAGTTCAAGAAATGCAATTTTTCAAGCTATATGCATGAAAGAGGGCTATTTTTCAAAGAAAAACTTAACCGGAGATAGAGGATAGTTTGAGAAAATGATCCTTTAAGTATTTTAAAATTTCTTTTTCAGAATTATGCTACAATGATGCCGAATACGGATACATCTACATTCCTTCTGTTCATACTTACCTTTCGTGCTGGGATCTTGCTTAATTATTGGCGGCTCTTTTGATCTGCGTCTTGTAGATCAATTTTATTTGATGCGCCTTGCTGCAAGATCAAAGAAGGATTTAATTCAGAACGAAAGAGAAAGTTGTGGTGCCAAGTTTCCGCAAGATTCTTCTCCATTTTTTTCACTGTCGATTTTCCAGCTGGCTTCTTTCTTGCTTACTAAATATGCTATTAGTGTAGTGTCACGACATGAACCGGTTCAAGCACATAGACGGGTCGTAGCAAAGACGACGCCGACGATGCTGTCACCATAGCGCTTGACTGCGTTCGTTTGAGGAGAAATAGCGTAAAAAGTGCAGAGTGTGTGCGGTTACGACGAACTGATTCGATCACGTAATGTTACGTGAGCTGCCGATACACACCTGTCCCTAGCCATCTAATCAACTACCCGCACACACGACCCCCCGTCTTGCATGCTTGCATGTCCCCCCCCCCCCCCGTAGTTGCCGTTAGTTGCACTCAGCTTCACTCTCTTCGCTTATTTGTATTTTTTTGCCTAGTGACATGCTTTCTGTGACTTTCCATTCATCCCCTGCTTATTGCCCCCTACTCATAAACAAAAGAACATGTCCACTTCTACATTTTGACCTACATCTACAAAGTCTGCAGATGTAGGTCAAAAATGAAGAAATCCTTGAAATACCAACTCACACTCTCTTTTTCATCAAGCCTTTTCTGATTCTTTAATGCTTTTGCAATGGAAAGCTCTTTGTTCTGAACAATGACAGGTTTTTGAGAAGCTTTCGTACCTATAAATCTTCTCTCAAACTTTCTCTGGAGTCGTCCATAAAGCGCATTTACCATGATCATCCGTGCAATGAATTATAGCAATACTGTTCCGGGATTCAACTACAATATGATAAAAGCTTGGTTTTCCTTGAATCTTGGCAGTGTTTACATTCTTCGACGATTGTTGGGCTTGACCAAAACTGGTATTCAACTTTTCATCCTTTTTCTAACTCAACTTGGTCAGCTCGGCAATTTCATCTAAAGTGTTTAGAATGATGTAATATATTGATAATAACAATAATATTGATAGTAATAATAATACAATAATAATAATAATAATAATGATAATAATAAATAATAATAATAATAGTATAATATAACAACAGTAGTGAAAAATTAAGTTTGATTTCCATTAATAGTTTGCATAATCATAACGTGTTAATACTAACATGAATTACGAAAATAAATAACATATTAAGATGAAAGTAATGAAATAATGAATGATGACAATGAGTAATGAAGACTACATATAGTATTACTTTGAACTTCCTCTATTTTTTTGATTATGTCTTATTCTAGCAATAAGTACTCCTATATTCTTTTGATGTTTTCGCGATTTTTGTCTGGCATTCGCACACGCCCTGCTTTAAAGAGGATGTCTGTTCCTATCATCTACAATGTTCTAGGAATCTCGATATTCAACTAGCTATTACTCTTTTTCTCCGCCGTTCTGCTTACGAAAGTCACAGTTCGACTTTTCTTCCAAATCTTTCACTCGACCTTTGCGCAAACAGAACTTGTAATTGCAGTACTTACAGATATGTAAAAACCATGCCGATCCACTCAAAAAAAGTACTCATACATATTGTAGGAAGTAATGGTTGGTCAGAGCACACTCTGCATTCGCGCTACCTTCAGCCAAGTCTTTCATTCAGTTATTCGCGATTTTATATTTGGAAAAGATTCGCGCATGGAAAAAAATGAATTTGAGGTAGCTTTTTCTGGCCAATTTTGGAAAATGTCGAGAGTTCTCAAATAAAACAGCGATCACTCCATCAAAACCATCAAAACTACTGGCAGGTCAAACAAAAACAAGCGCTAAGGTCATCACCCTGCTGGCGCCATTGGCAAATGCGCAACGCCGTCCAGCCGAAAACGACCGTATTAATCGCTGCCTAACCATCTGAACTGTCATTCCGTATATCAGCTCGTGTCTCAAGTAGTGAAATATTCGATTTCGCTTTCATCCCATCCGTGTATGATGAATGACCCTAATTGCGGATCGTCTCGTTACCGCACACACATCTGTTGCTGAGTCTGTTTCAAGCAGACGTCGAGCCTTGTTTTCTGCTAGTCCCGCCATTTGCCCCTAATAAGCTCACATCATCTTGGCATTGCACCTCAGTCAGGTTTTCCTGTAACAAAAATCGATGGTGCATCCAAACTGTTTAAGCAAAAAACTTTGTCTAATCATTGTGACAGAAAATTTATTCATATTCCTATTCCTGAGAACCTTCTTCACTTTTTATCCAAAATAAATATATACGTCATTTCTGGTGTATTACGTAAGCTCATCCTTTTCTCAGTGATAACTAGAGCTGTGAAGAAAATTAATAATAGCACTTCAACGTCCGTTGGCAAAAATTATTTAAAAATTCTTGAATTTTCATGACAGCTTTGAACTACGTCTTCATAAATCTTACATCAAAAAAAATTTTCTTTTCTAATTTCTGCAAGTCTTTTTGAAACAATGTAGTCTGGAACGATAAATTATGCACTCTAAAAGTACTTTAAGCAAATCTACCATTGGCATTCTGAAAAGATACAGGTTTTTTTTGCAGATTCTGGTCGCTAAAAAAGCTATATGTTCCAACGTTTGATTTTACATTTGATTAAAGTCTTACGATTCTTTTTGAAAGGGAATCGGTGTTCCGAATTATTAACGAACAGTTATGAATTTTGAATAAATTTGCGTTTTGTTTTTCCTCATAAAAACTCTAGTATGCATAAGAAAATAAAATTTGGTATGTACATTCTGCTATAGAAAATATGCAATAAAAATTGGAATCAAACGTTCTTTGAGCAGATTTTTTCATATGTGCGAGATTTATAGACCATCCCAATACTTTATACATTGTAATTTTTTCTTTATTGTCGTCATGGATTTCGCATATTTTTATCGCCCTGAATTAGAATCGCACAGCCATAAATGTCACGATACTTTCCTTACATTGATTCTGGTCTTCATTATATACTATGATTTTGAATTTGCGTGGTGTCCTTAATTCCTTGTCTGCTAGCGTGCACCGCGAATGAGTAATCTTTTTCACAACCTTTTTCTCTACTTAGACTTTGCACCTTGTCTATGAATTAAGTTTTTCAAACAATCTTTCGGAGTTGACCCATTATTGGTTGAGAGACGTTGCAAACCCGTAGCCAATTATGGGTCACACATCTTACAAAAACGGCTTTCATGCATGCTGTTTGACCTTAATTTCCGCTGTTCAATGTAAGTTTTTTTATGTCTCATGTCATTGTTGTTAGCACGTAGTGTCCGTCACCTCCATTCCGCCTATAATCATCTACCGCCACCGCAGTCTAGCTTGAGGAAATATAAAGCGGATCCGAGTGCATTTAGCAGAATCACGCTCAAAGGATTGATTCTCTTTGAGATCTTTGCTTAATCTGTCTTTATGCTCTTTCCTTTTGCATCTCATTGCCCTTCCATGACTGTTTTACGAGCGTTTTCCTCATGTCTACTAATCTACAAGTGGTAGCTTATTTGGTAGAAACGGAACCAAGTGCTTTTGTCTATCGAATAAGTTAGATTCTTGAAGAAGCGATTCTTCTCGCATTAAAACTTTTTCTTCGGAGACATTCAATTGAGACAAAAATTGATTTGTAACAATGTTCCTCGCGTTTGAGATTATTGTCTGAAAAAATTTGCGTTCCCAAACTTTTCCGCTTTCCCATCAGGTAATTGAAGGCTTTGCCTAGGCAAATGGGGTTTACCTTTATTTTATATTTGTAAGCTAAGGAGCTCAACTGATCGCGCAAAAAAAGCTTACACCTTTCAAACTTGGCACAATTTATCAGATCGTGTTAATCGTGTTTTGTAAGCTTCAAATCAACAAATTTTTCAATATGTTCTAATCCATTATAATGCTAAATTTTCATTCTTAGGAAAATAACTGCAAAGTTCCGACCAAAATTGTACACTTTTCGAGCAACCAATCAGCCTTCTCGGGTACGGTAATGGGCGAGATATAGAATCGATTTCCTCTGCAGTTGGTAGACCATTATCAGGAGCTGCATTATTGATAATTTAGTATACTTCCTAGCTCATTTTTTTGCAAAAAACTCTAGGTACTCAGACTTGCTGTGCTCTATCTGGAAAGTTGAAATCAAGCGCTTAAGTCAAATTCAAGATATTTTGAGCAATGTATTTACTGTATACTACTTATTTATTTACTGTATACTTGTCCGTCACTTCTCATTACCTCGCTTCACAGCCAGGCTTGTTTATGCTTTCATATGTTTTATAGATGTTAATACTTCTGTTCCCTGTATTACTCTTGTATGTGTCGGCAGCGCAACGTCATGACGATCATATTTTCCCAGCTGATGACATTATTGAGCTACCAGTGGGAAGGTAGGCGGTTGAATCTGCTATAGTAGTTGTTGAGAAACGAATTTTTTCAAGATTTCCGGATCCTGACTGTGAATATTCCGTGTATAGAAATGGACCGTATGGACCTAAGGTCAATGGGTGGGTTTATTATGAATTGTGTGGAAAATATGATGATTTCTTATGACCACCAATGGGATTTGTTTGCACTCAAGCTCTGCTAATTCACAAAGTAGGATCTAACAAAATCTAAGTGGCTTATAAAGACACCTTTATGGTCTAACCAAAAATATTCTTTTGTTCCAATGGTATAAAGTCTGCGCGCAGACTGAAATTATACCATTTTCAGTGTAGAAAGTTGAGCAGCGTTTTTCCACGACACTTCTAATTTTGTTTCGTTTCTGAAATTCTTCATTCCAATACTCTGCACTTGCAATTTTGTGTTACAGGATTCTTGTAAGCTTCTAATTACACATCCACGTAAAAAATCATCTACCACAGAATCATCATGACCTTTGGTCTTATAAACTGTGGAATGTTTCGTCTTCGATTATTTTCCAAAAAAAAACAGTTTCTAGCAAAGTTCGTGTCGGCGACATCGTCTTCCATTCGTGGAAATGTAGCTACGGAGCCCTTGACAGCAGTATGTACTGCCTAATGGTCAATAACTGTACAGTATCTAGCGAACAAGGCAGCTCTTCACATAGGGTGAGTTCAATCAATTATTGATTCTTCTGATTGCTAGATTAAGTTGGCGAATATCAGGTTCCGATTTTGGACGAGTTTGGCTGCTCGCTTTTTCCTAACATTTTACCACATGTAGAATATCCATCAGATCTCAATGGTGGACTGCTAGTGCATGCATTTTCTCTTGATGTTGATCAGGTGAGTCACTCATATTTTATGCTCTACGGTCCTGCAAAGATTTTACATCTAACAGGCTGCAGTCTTCTTCGAATGCAATGTAAAGCTTCTACTAAAGCTGAACGGTGTCTGTAGAAGGCCTACCTGCCCTCCGCTAGAGGAGCTAAGAGGAGTTCGTAGCCGCTTTCGTAGACGTTTTGCAAAGGCTTAATCCATCTCTACAACTTTCTGTGAAGTAGAAATAAATGAAATGGGCGGAGAATGTACCTCATCAACTGCATGCTCCGCCCATTCAAAGATACGTAGGAACTAACTATTATTTTCTCCTTGTATAGCTCTATTCTTCCTTATTATTGCTCTTTCCATTTTACGGGTCAAATAAATATCTTTGCTTGCACCAAAAGAGTATTTTGAAGAATAGCGAAATGAAGTTGCGACCAATGGAAACGACTTCTCAGCTGTCAATGACCTTGAGAGAATATGGATAGCTTAGCAAAACCGAACCTCCAGTTGTAATTGAAGGAGCTAAGTAGACCGTAATTTGGTGTTTCTTCATGATTCTTGAAGTTCTCCGAAGCATGACAGATTGGGAAAAATAAAACGGCCTCGAAGTTCGGTAGTCTGTTACTCATGGCTTGAAATCTGTATGCCTCTTGCAAGTCTTTTTATTGAACCTTTTCTGAATTACGTACCATGGTAGCGATGCTCATTCTAGCGAAACAAGGTTCGCATGAAAATAAAGTGTTAACCAAGAGGAAACATAGGCCCCCTAGTAAACCTCCCTTAGCTCAGTGACGAGCTGCCCTCAGAAGAATTCCGCAAGTCAAACTACACCACCCATACTCTCATTCTTGAAGGCAAGTGCAACCGTTAGAAGACTGTCCGGTCAAGTGCCACGGCCTGTATATAAATTAAAGGTGTAGGCTGCTGCATGACGAAAACGCAATAAGTTTGTGCGCAAACGCGGCTTTATTAGCCGCGTTTGCGCACAAAGGCGCAGGATTTACAATGGTGAAGATACGCGTTCGCGCCCGCTCAACTAATACTGCTTCTGCCTCCTTCGTGCAGTGGCCTTTAGATCATAAGCCTGCGAAGGAAAATCCCATAATCTGCTTGTGAGTGACGCAATGCCACGGCCAGGTGCATAAATCTGCGCAATTTCTGGGGCCTGTGGATAGAAGGAGCCAATGAACAGCTGACCGCAGAAAAAAAACCTATAGAGTTTTTTTCCTTTTCTGCAGAAAGTGCTTTGATTTTTCAGGAAGCTTCTTGAGATCAAAATTTATCTCTTTGATTATTTTTCGACAGCTGTGTATCCCATAGAAATATGTCAAGATAATATCATTTTGTTTGATTTCTTCGTTTGCTAGGTAGCTTCTTTGATACTCATCATCGATTCTTCGATAGTGCTCGCTATCAAACTGTTTTGCTATATAGCAGAATTGGCGCCACTGAGCGTCTCGAACCGTGCCATGCCAGTTGAATAGCAGTAACGTATCCGCTCGACCAATTCTACCCAGTGAAAGCTGTTTGTTGTTTGTTTGAAAGGCATATTATCGATTCTACGACTAGGAGACGCGTGACCGCATTGCGGACATTGTCTTAACATGTTTAAGTTTGTTCTTCCCTGTTTCCAAAGAATGAGTATACGTGGGCAAGACAAATGACAAGTATAAACCTGCGAAGTACACGATTAAGCTTGTTTAGACAATGTGTGCAAACGGTCTCGCGTCTCCTAGTCCTAGAATGAATGATAGGTTTATCATGTCGATCAGCATGAGATCCACGATGCTGTTGGTATTACGCCACGCCTTAAGTTCAAGTTAGTCCGGCTTCAGACGAGTTACGATGACGGGTCAAAGTCTTACAACGGAAAGATGAAATCGAATCAAGAACTGGCGTAGACAGTTTTTTCAATGGGATAATATCAAACTTGTTTGTATCAAGAGTGGCACTTCACAAGGCTTAGCGTTTTAATTGGTTGCTGCCCTTGCACAGTCTTGAGAATGCTTAGACACAGCGGTTAACAAAATGCAATGGCAGATTCGAATGCTGATTTCAAACCTACATTCGCTGGTGAAACGATGATCTACAATAGAGAATTTTCCGACGATTAAAGTAGATGCTCTGGACCAATTTGCAAATACGGAAACGAGATCATGTCATTTATTAGGTTGTTGCAAAAATAATGTCCGTTTTGCAAAATTTTATTTTGAAAGGCTATAACTTTGTCCAGTCTTCATATTTTTGAATGCGGTCAAAACCATATGAAGCAGTGAACCTTTCTTGACCTGATGTGCACCTGCATTTACTGTTGTCACAAACGGGAAGAAAACCATGCGTCAAATAACCGAAAGTTTTTCTTTTGAAAACCTCGTCTTAGAGATTTCAACTCCCTTCAAGTTTTGTTCCTCTGGCTGCTAATCAGCTTATTTTGTAGATGCAAGCCAGTAGTATATTTCTGCGTAGAAAAGGCTTCAACGAAGGAGTTCTGCGAAAATAAAAGGATAGAAATTCAAAACTGTTCACTTTTTTGAGCCTATTTGTGGTAGGCCAGAAAGTCCCAAACTATGGAAATTTGAAATTCCTCATACACTGAATAGCTAAGCTTTTCTTCAAAAATTGTGGGAAAGATCCCTGACTTCAAGCATACAGAAATGAGCGAAGGTTTGGCGATTGTCCTATTTGTAAGAAACTTTGAACACATAGAATGTCAGCAGCGAGTATATATTTCGAGGCGTCGATTTCTCGGTTCAAATTTTTTTGAAAAATTTACTTAACCATGCTATAGGTAAACAACGTTCAACCAATATAGTAGCTATGTTTTCAAAAGAATCCGTTTATTTGCGCATGATTTGTGGCCAAGAGGGATAAAGCAACGAATTTTCGATTTTGAGTGCAGCTGTGTGCTGGTGAAATTCTCACAGATGAGATAGAAGCTTGATTTCACAACTGTTAGAAAGTGCATGAAGAAAGCTTTCCAATGATGTGCAAAACTAATATTGAAAAAGAAGTTATGGAGGAAAAAAGTTGTTTGAAAACAGGCCTAGAAAAACGGACATTATTTTTGCAACAACCTAATAAATACTACAAATGGTGCCAGGGGCGTATTGGTAGTCTGTCATACTTCTTACGCAACCATCAAGAATGATCGGTTATCCGGGTTCTGTCTCGTCAAATGATTCGTTTGAAGTAGAAGATATTCTCAAGTGGGAAATGGTGGCACGTTACAGGGATGAGCAAGCCTTACAGTTTTTGAAACGCAGTGCAAGCTTCTCAACTTCCTATCACGCGAAGTGGTGAAATTTGGCATGTTTGCTGGTAAAACTGTTCCGAGATAGCGTTCTCAAGGTTTTTTTTATATTTATTATGTTGTTAGTATTTATTGCGTAGGGGGAGTCGCTAACAATCAACAACAACAAAAACAATTACAGACTGAATACAATAACAAATCATAACACAACAAAACAGCTACGTGAAAAAGTTGGTGATAAGATCGGAGGGAGCTTCTCGAAAACTTTCTAGACTGTGATAGCTTAGCTACAGTCATTTTTTTCAGCTGTCTATCCGCATCATGGACCACTCGGCTAAAGAAATATTTTCAGTATTTCTTTAGCCGAGTGGCCATAGCCCCTTGCCCTTGGCCTCGAGTATTGGGACATCTACTGACAAAAAATTCCTCGCAACAAGTTTGTATCTTTCAAACAGAAGTCTAATTCCGCGCAAGGCGTGGGGGATTTTTCCCCAAAATCGACCATCCCAAACACGCTAGAAATCTTCGCAATCAAAGAACCCTATACCGTGCTATATATTGCGAAAAAGAATCGTGCGGCATAAAAGAAACGGTTGAGCGGATCTCTTGAAAAATTGTAAAAAGTGCCCTTGTTCGCGCAAATTTGGGGTATTTGCACCATAATCATATCTAATTTTCGCCTTTTGTGAGTAAGAATGGGAATTCCTGAAATTGTATCGCGAACCGACCGCGGGGTATCTGATCGTAAATCCAACGGTCCTGATAAGCAACATTCTAGTGAAACTAATTTGAACCTTTTCTAAATAATCACTTGCTTTTTGCGTGTAGCATAGATTACTACCATATTCCAATATTGGTCTTATGTAAGTCTCTGTCTTTGAAACTTTAATACTGATCGTTGCATGACAGTCGTCCGTGAGAATTATAGATTGCCAAAGTTGCCTTATCCACAATTACCTTGCAGTGTTTATCGAAAAGAGTGTTTTTTACCGAAAACTTAGGTCTCTCATTGAACCAACAGCTGTAGGCGTTGTTTCTTCCATTGAGTGGCCATAGTGAGGATAGCTGGAACCTAATTTTTGTCTTTTTCTGTGAGATAGGCAGATCCCATGCTTCTGATCAATCAAAGACTTCAACGATTGTCTTGTAAGAGAAAATCTTATATATAAAGCTGAATGTCTGTATGTCTGTATGTATGTCTGTATGTACGTATGTTCCGAATAGAAAATTCCATTTCTGAACCGATCCGGACCAAACTTGGCACACATACGCTACGGGCCCCGGCGGGTGTCATAGGCTACTTTTCGTCATCGATCGATAAATTTATCGATTTTTATCGATTTTTTTGCTGAGTTCACCTACGGGCTGGGAGTTGGCACAGGGGGGTAATCGAGCATGGGGATTCCGAATACAATACTGGTTTTCAGGATTATCGATTACTTTTATCAATTTTATCGATTTTTTTTGCAAAGTTTGAGCTACGGGGCTGGGAGTTCGCACAGGGGGGTAATCGAGCATGGGGATTCCGAATACAATATTGGTTTTCGGGATTATCGATTACTTTTATCGATTTTATCGATTTTTTTGCAAAGTTTGAGCTAGGGGGCTGGGAGTTGGCACAGGGGGGTAATCGAGCATGCTGATCATCCCCAAGGGGGGTGATCAGCATGCTCGATTACACCCCTGTGCAAACTCCCAGCCCCGCAAGTCAAACTTTACAAAAAATCGATAAAATCAATAAAAGTAATCGATAATTCTGAAAACTAATATTGTATTCGGAATCCCCATGCTCACTTCCCCCCCCCTGTGCCAACTCCTAGCCCTGTAGGTGAACTCTGCAAAAAAATCGATAAAAATCGGTAAAATCGACATCGATCGATAATGAAAAGTGGACTGTGACACCCGCCGGGGCCCGAAGTGTATGTGTGCCAAGTTTGGTCCGGATACGGCGGAGCCGGGTAAGCCAGCTAGTGTAGAGATATAAACAAGAGTGCTGAGAGACAAAGAAGAGCTAAAGTAAAAAATTGCGAAGTCACTCTTCAGATTCGTAGTTTTTCCGAATCAAAAAACTCTTTAGGTTGTAGTATAGTACAAGGTCTCCTATAAGATAAGCAATTTGATTCACAGATTGCAGTGCAAGTC